CTAGCAGTTTTTGCTCTCATGTAGGAGGGGCTTGAAGTTGTTTGAGTCAAATCAGTAATTCTGTAAAATCACTATCAGGGATTATGAACTCATCAGTTCCTCTAAGCAGCATTATTCCATGAAAGTGCATTTTCAATTCAGTCTGCAGGAGATCTGCCCAACAGAGTGAAGCAAATACAGAAAGCACAGGCCGTGGGGAGTTCTTTACGCCATGCCAGACACATGAAAGATGTAGCAATGACAAGCATGGAAAGGCAACCTAGCTGGGGGAAGAGGCAGAATGGTTTTTGCTTATGTGCCTGTCTGGTTTGCTTGTTCTGTGTGCTTCTTTGTAAGTAGCATGATGGAATCTAGATCCGTTCCCATCTCTAATCATTTCATGAAATCCAGGCCCTTCAGATGGTAGATAATGCAAGATCATCACATTAGCTCTGGTAGAGTGCCTTTGACTGCCCAGAGCAAAGGCACCTGGGTATCTAGGGATCATGGCAACTGCCCTCCCTCGGTGTATTATGCTACCACCACAAAGAGCTGGGGCCTCAGTGACTGAATCCAGCTGAGGCTGAGTTCTTCGTTCCTTTACTTGCTCCAAATAGGAGGATCCAGGAGCTGTGCTGTCCTCCTGACACTAAGATGGGCGGAGAGAGGTCTCCTTTTCCTCCACTCCTGCCTCAGAACATCTCAATTCAGGTCCACTGATGAGTCTTCAAGTATAAAAATTAGTACCTTTAGCTGGGCATGCTGGCACATGCCTGTAATCCCAGCAGGCAGAGGCAGGTGGATTCCAGTGAGTTCAAGGACAGCCTGGTCTACAAAGCCAGTCCAGGACAGCCAAGGCTACAAAAAGAAACCCTGTATTGGGAAACAAACAGATAAATAAGACCAAAGCCCAAAATCGAACTGATCTTCCAGACCCAGCTGAGCCAGTGGCATGTGCCTGAGGTGGGAGGAGGCAACCGCTCCACCACACCAGCATTCAGGCCCACAGAGAGTCTGGGCTTCGAGGAAGCAACAGAGAGTAGATACTAATATATTTTCAGTTGAGAACTCAGAGACACAGAGAAGCTGAGAAGCCTGATGCAGGTGACGCATGCGTCCTAATGTTGTCATGTGTCTTCTGACCTAGCTGTTTCCGTGTCCTCCCCCCCCCCCTGGGGAGGGATCTTGCCTTAGAGAGAGAAACTTTCCCTGAATCCTGTACCAGATGCCACCATGTGGCTTTTCTGGGATATCTCACTCAGGATGATCTTTTCTATATCCCACCATTTGCCTGCAGATTTCATGATTTCCTTGTTTTAAATTACTGAGTAGTATTCCACTGTGTAAAAGTACCACAATTTCTGTATCCATTTCTCAACTGAGAGGCATCTGGGTTGTTTCCAGCTTCTGGCTATTACAAATAAAGCTGCTATGAACATGGTTGAGCAAATATTCTTGTTGTGTACCTGAACATATTTTGGATATATGCCTAGGAGTGGTATAGCTGGGTCTTGAGGTAACACTATTCCTAATCAAAGCATCAGGTTGATTTCCAAAGTGGTTGTACAAGTTTACATTCCCACCAGCAATGGAGTAGGGTTCCTCTTTCTCCATATCCTCTCCAGCATGTGTTGTCACTTGAGTCAGAAGCAGAAAGACACACATGGTATATGCTCACTTATAAGTGGATATAATATAGGATAATCATACTAAAATCTGTACACCTAAGAAGGAGGACCCTGAGTAATATGATCAATCTTCATTCAGAAAGGCAAATGAGATGGACATTGGAAGAGGGAGAAAACAGGGAACAGGAGAGGAGCCAATCACAGAGGGCCTCTGAAAGATATGCTGAGATTCATAGTCAAACTTTCGGCAGAGTGCAGGGAATCTTATGAAAGAAGGGGGAGATAGTAATGAAGAGCTTAAGATAGCCTGAATATAACTCCATTTTGCAATAAAGATCTTGACTGGGAACCGAATTCAGGTGCCAGGAAATATCACAGAATGTACACCTGGCAAAAAACAAAGTTAACTCTCCTAGCAACAGCCTCCAGGAAATATAACAGAATAAATGCTTTATAGAAAATAGAGACAAACTTCCTGGCAATAATCAATGGGAATCGGTTGAGAATTGGGTGGGAAAATTCTCCCCAATGTTTCAGATATGGTTTAGAAAAATAGCCATTTTGATTATATGCCTTAGCCATTGTGATTATGTGCCTCAGAAAAGGTCACCCCGCCCTGCTAAACTTCACCCAATTCTGTAACACCAAGGCTTGTGCCCCCCCCCCCCCGCTTGCTGCCATGGAAACCCCCGGCTCACAGACTTTCCCTTTAAAAATCCTGTTCACTCAGAGCTCGGGATCCCACTTCTCTACTGCTGTGCCAGTGAGACTTGGGTCCCAAGTTCGATCGCTCTCGTAATAAAGCTCTCTTGCAGTTGCATCGAGTCATCTCCTGGTGGTCTCTGAGGGTCCGGTGAACCTGGCATAACAGTAAGACCTGGAGGGAACAGGAGCTCACAAGGAGAGCAACAGAACCAAAATATCAGGGCACAGGGGTCTTTTCTGAGACTGATACTCCAAACAAGGACCATGCATGGAGATAACTTAGAACTCCTGCACAGAAGTAGCCCATGGCAGCTCAGTGTCCAAGAGGGTTCCTCAATAATAGGAACAGGGACCTCTCTGACATGAACTTATGGTCTGGCTCTTTGCTCACCTCCACCTGAGGGGGGAGCAGCCTTACTAGCCCACAGAGGAAGACAAAGAAGCCAGTCTTGATGAGACTATGGTCAGATGGAAGGGGAGGAGGACTTCCCCTATCATTTTACTGAGGGAGGGGCATAGGAGAAGAAGAGGGACAGAGGGTGGGATTGGGAGGGGGTGGTGGAGGGGCTCAGCTGAGCTACAAAGTGAATAAACTGTAATTTATAAAAATAAAATAAAAAAAAAAGATGTGGCTTTTACTGATAGGAGCTGCTGTGGGCAAGGAGCTGTCTATTGCACTCCTGGGTAAACTGACAAAGACTGAAATAACCATGCTCTGCCTGTAGGGTGCACTGGAATGCTGTCAGTGGTTGGCTGCTGTAGCTCATTTCTCAGGGCTCTCAAAGGAGTGGGAGTTGTATGCAAAACCAGTGCCAGGTTGTGTGCTGACTGATACCCATGGCCAAAGCACAGCCCTCCTCCAGGGTGACCTGAGCCTCAGTCTCCTGAAACATATGTCTGTACTCATTTTTGGACAAATGTCTGTCACTGGCTTTGTAGATTATTAACAACAACAACAACAACAAAAAATATATGGGTTTGGCCCACGTTCCTTCCTACACAGGAGCTCTGGGAAAGGGGAGCAGACCAAAATGGCATCCGTTACCATAAGTACAAATAATCAAGGTAAAACTGACGGAACGGGAATGGTTCCAGAGCTAGTTTCTCCTGAAAACTGCAAATTCCAGTTCACCTGAATCAGCGTGGTAAAGTATCCTCTCCATTTAGCCAGGAATAAGCCCTACCCCCGCCCCCCACCCGGCTGAAGTGCCACAGTAGCCTGACATTAACAGGGCCATGTTGCACAGAGGGAGGTTATGTTACTGTGTCACCCTACCCTGAGCCTGCTTCTGTGTTTCCTTTTCACTGGTCCCAGAGTCAAGGGATCCCGGCCTGTGGAGGAACAAGCCTAGTGCACCTATTCCGTCCAACAACTCTGCTGATAGCTTCGATTGGGCCAGAGAAATTGAAGTAATTGGGCCAGAGTAAACTTGGCTAGCCCCATAGCATAGGAGCCCCTGCGATGACCATCTGGAGCCATCCACAGACCGTGGTCCTATGACTGAGGATGAAGATGGGGGACACAGAATAAGTAGAATCAGGCCTGGTAGGCCTATGCGCTTGAGACCCAGAGATGCTCAAACTGCTCACTGGGGTAGGCGCTGCTTCTAAGAGCTGGGTGAGCCCCTCTCCTGAACACCTGGCCAGGCCAGAAACCTCCAGGAGCAGGTTGGGTTCCTGTTGCAGCTCCATGGAGGAAGGGCTTGGTCGTGTGGCTACTTGCTTTAACTGAATAACTCTCTCACGGGGGGGGGGTGTTTGATGTGTATCCCTCCATATGAAGAAAGGCTCATATATGACAGCATAGAGAACAAGGCTCAGGAAGCCTATAAAAGTTACAACATTTGTAAGCTCCTCCCTGACCTACCAGCCGCTCCCTGACCACACGAAAGCAGTTAGCCATAGCTGGGAAAGGAGGCTCTCTTCTGTGGGGTTGCCTACAAGTTGTACAGGGAAGTCCAAGGATGCAGCTATCATGAATTGTCACCCATGCTGGGGGAAGGAGGGGCTTTTCAGTGAAGTGAGTCATCCACACCCTGTAAGTAACCACCAGTAGACTCATCGGGTCCCCAAGCTAGACTTGAGTGCAGTGATATCATTGGTACCCTGAATGCAGTGAGTAGATGTTTATATCTCTTGAGGAAAAGTCATACAACAGTCTTCACCAGCAATCTCCTCTAGCCATTCTCAGGCAATCCCAGGCAAGATGGAGGGGCCAGTCATGGTGACGTAACATGCTGGGATGAGAAGGGATGTGATCCTGCTTTGATGAAACCTAGACATGCTGAAGCTGGCAGCTGGCTCCTGAAACGGCAGCTCTGGGGGTCTGTGAGGGTCCCATTGGCAGTGGGAGAGAGCCCACATTGGTAGAGGACAGAGTGAGAGGCTAGAGAACACAGGCACTTGGTGGACTTTGGTGGGTCTTTGAGCATGAGACCCTCCAGGTTTCCGGATATGATAGATGTTTTTGAGAGCAGAAGGTTCTAGGACCAGAGTCTGAGGTCTCAGCCATAGCTCTCTGCCCACAATCTATTTGCGTGGATGGAGGGGACATCAAGACACACAACTCACTCTGGGCCTAAAAAGACACAAAAACCACAGAGTCGAGGATTTGCAGTAGCACTCAGGCATGGGCTGGGCCAGCCTGTGTTTAATGCCACTTGGGGGGATTGGGGGCCAGTTCGGAAGGAGGAAGGATGGCTTTGGAAAATGGTGATTATTGTGTGGGATTCACCACTTTTCCCACAAAGAGTGGGCTCTGAGTGTGTTTATCACATATTATGACAGCAAATGGTCTCTCAAAGCTCACGTCAGGGGGCACAGACATGGAGATGGCTTCTAAAACCGTGGCTCCTGCAGCTTCCGTCCCTCTCTCATCGAGGGTCAGCATAGCCTTGTGCACAGCCTGTGGAGAGAGAAGCAGAGAGAAGTTGGAGGTGGTGTGATGGCCACTCCTGGCTGGGGACTCATCCAGGAGGGACTTCACTAGGGGACAGGTCTCCCTCCATGTCCCCCTGCTCCTCCACCCTTTCCATGGTAATCACCTTAGGGCCCTCACTGTCTCTCAATCTTTGCCTGCCTTGGTCCATCCTTTCCATTCTCCCTTCCTGATTCCATCTCTGATGGCCTTGAATGCAGCCCATAGCTGCGCAAGAATGGAAACATCATGTCCTCTGCACAAGCGTCCCCTTCCCAGTGTGTAACTATGAGTATGTTGTGATGAGGGTTCCGAAGATGACCGTCAACGTCCAGACTCTTAAGAACATCCTGCTCATTCTGGACTGCCTTTAGTTTCTCTGAACCAGTGGCCTGGTTGGCTGAGCTCATAATTCCAAACTGGCAGTTCACAAGTAGCTCTAAAATAAGGGATGGTAGATTCCAGGACACTATCTGGGGTCCCCAGAGGCCTAAATCTCTATGTGAATATATATAAACTGAGTCCAACAATGATGAGACTAAAGGATTGGGGTAGCATTTCAGGGAAGGCCTCATAATTCCATCTGCATAAGAAGACACTCCCAGATGACATCTGACCACATCAAGCAAATCCTGAAAGTCCTCAGAAAGAGCTCAGCCTGGACCCTGTCTGCAGCCTTGACACCTGAGCTACCTTGACACCCTACAGACACCTAGGACATCACAACAACACCATGGTCCAGATAATTTCACCTTGTTGAGTGTCAGGGGAGCGTCAATTGTGATTCCAGAGAGGTCGGCCCGATTGCTGAAGACCTGGGTGATGCCCAGTGGACTCAGGACTTTCTTCAAGTTATAGGTCCCATAGATGGACAGTTTGGGGAGGTGCACATTGGCTGTGGTGGGCAGGAAAGAGTCAAAGTTAAAGCAATTACATGGGACTTGTAGGTTCGGCCGAGACCCACCCAGTTGTGAAATTGTTGCTGGCTGGTTCTTACACTGAACATGCTGCTACCCACAGCAGCAGCACCTGAAAGTGTACTCATGCGCTTTCATTTTACCTGGTCCCCACCTAGCATAAGGGAATTTGAAATCAGTGGGAATTCAAAGTTCAAGCTCCTGGAAGCTCCTAAAGAGCCATCTCCTCTGAGAAGCCCTCCAGGCAAATTCAGGGAATTCACTGTGTCCGTTCCTCACTGTGTCCTACTGCTTTTAGCCAATTCCTTCTCTTGGGCCAGGGAATCCCAGGGTAGATAGGTCAATGCAGCAGAATGACATTTCCCTAACCCTCCCGTGGTGAAGGCTAAGCTCTCAGTTTCTACAGGACAAGAAAAGGCTCGATAGGGTCTTACCAAATCTGCGACACATCCTGGTCTCAACCTTGTCTTGTTTCCCACACTTTTATGAGTCTTGGGCCTAAGCAGAGGCCTGCTGGAAGCAGTGTCTGCCCACATCTAACCTCAGGCCTGCTGGAAATTCCATGTGGCTCATGGTTCTTCATCCAAAAGACAGCAGAACCTGATCTCAGAGTGCACGGGCCCTCTGACCTGTGGAACTCGCTGTAGGACTGCTGGGTCCTGGAGACCTGTAAGCCACACTGAGAAGACACACTGGAACAGGGCCTTCTCCAAACTTACCTGGGAACCTCTATTGCTGTTCTTCCTTGCTCAAGGTGTTGCATGAAGCTCTCCTGTAATACCCTATAAACTTCCCACCTGATCTCTACCCTCAGCTGTGGCCAGGGATTTTTTTTTACACTTTATTCACTTTGTATCTCCCATAAGCCCCTCCCTCCGCCCCTCCCGATCCCACCCTCCCTTCTCCTTCTTCATGCATGCCCCTCCCCAAGTCCACTGATAGGGGAGGTCCTCCTCTCCTTCCTTCTGATCTTAGTCTATCAGATCACATCAGTAGTGGCTGCATTGTCATCTTCTGTGGCCTGGTAAGACTGCTCTCTCCTCAGGGGAAGGTGATAAAAGAGCAGGCCAATCAGATTGTGTCGGAGGCAGTCTCTTCCATTACTCTTCCCATTACTATGTAACCCACTTAGACACTAAACTGCCATGGATTACATCTGCGAAGGGGTTCTAGGTTATCTCCATGCCTGGTACTTGGTTGGAGTATGGGTCTCTGGGAAGACCCCTGTGTTCAAATCTTCTGGTTCTGTTGCTCTCCTTGTGGGATTCCTGTCCTCTCCATAACCTACTATTTCCCACTTCTTACATAAGATTCCATGCACTCTGCCCAACAGTTGGCCATAAAGTCTCAGCATCTGCTTTGATAGTCTGAAGGGCAGAGCCTTTCAGAGGCCCTCTGCGGCAGGTTCCTAGATTGTTTCCTGCTTTCTTCTTCTTCTTCTTCTTCTTCTTCTTCTTCTTCTTCTTCTTCTTCTTCTTCTTCTTCTTCTTCTTCTTCTTCTTCTTCTGATGTTCATCCTCTTTGCCTTTCGGGATGGGGATTGAGCATTTTAGTCAGGGTCCTCTCTCTTGATTAGGTTCTTTAGATGTACAGATTTTAGTAGGTTTATCCTATAAGTCTATATGAGTGAGTATATACCATGTGTGTCTTTCTGCTTCTGGGACAGCTCACTCAGGATGATCCTTTCCAGGTCCCACCATTTACCTGCAAATTTCATGATTTCCTTATTTTTCATTGCAGAGTAATACTCCATTGTGTAGATGTACCACAATTTCTGTATCCTTTCTTCAGTTGAGGGGCATCTGGGCTGTTTCCAGCTTCTGGCTATTACAAATAAGGCTGATACAAACATGGTTGAGCAAATGTCCTTACTGTGTACTTGAGCCTCTTTTAGATATATGCCTAGCAGTAGTATGGCTGGATCTTGAGGAAGCGCTATTCCTATTTGAGAAAGCGCCAAACTGATTTCCAGAGTGGTTGTACAAGTTTACATTCCCACCAGCAGTGGAGGAGGGTTCCCCTTTCTCCACAACCTATCCAACATGTATTGTCACTTGAGTTTTTCATCTTGGCCATTGTGATGAGTGTAAGGTGAAATCTCAGGGTTGTTTTGATTTGCATTTCCCTGATGGCTAATGAGGTTGAGCATTTTTTTAAGTGTTTCTCTGCCATTCGATATTCCTCTACAGAGAATTCTCTGTTTAGCTCTATTCCCCATTTTTTAATTGGATTACTTGGTTTGCTGCTTTTCAGCTTCTTTAGTTCTTTATATATACTGGATATTAGCCATCTGTCAGATAACAGGTTAGTGAAGATTCTTTCCCAATCTGTAGGCAGTCGTTTTGTTTTGATGATGGTGTCCTTTGCTTTACAGAAGCTTTTTAGTTTCATGAGGTCCCATTTATTGATTGTTGATCTTAGAGCCTGTGCTGTTGGTGTTCTGTTCAGGAAGTTGTCCCCTGTACCAATGAGTTCTAGGGTACTCCCCACTTTTTTTTTCTAGCCGATTTAATGTATCTGGTTTTATGTTGAGGTCTTTGATCCACTTGGACTTCAGTTTTGTGCAGGGTGATAAGTACGGATCTATTTGCATTTTTCTACATGTAGACATCCAGTTGGACCAGCACCAATTGTTGAAGATGTTTTCTTTTTTCCATTGTATAGTTTTGGCATCTTTGTAAAAATCAGGTGTCCATAAGTGGGTGGGTTTATTTCTGGGTCTTCTGTTCGGTTCCATTGATCCACCATTCTGTTTCTATGCCAGTACCATGCAGTTTTAAATACTGTTGCTCCATAGTACAGCTTAAGATAAGGGATGGTGATACCTCCAGAAGATCTTTTATTGTAGAGGATTGTTTTAGCAATTCTGGGTTTCTTGTTATTCCATACGAAGTTGAGAATTTTTCTTTCCAGGTCTGTAAAGAATTGTGTTGGCAATTTGATGGGAATTGCATTAAATCTGTAGATTGCTTTTGGTAAGATGGCCATTTTTACGATGTTAATCCTGCCAAGCCATAAGCATGGGAGATCTTTCCGTCTTCTCATATCTTCTTCTAATTCTTTCTTCAGAGACTTGAAATTTTTTTATACAAGTCTTTGACTTGTTTGGTTAGGGTTACACCAAGGTACTTTATGTCATTTGTGCCTATTGTGAAGGGTGTTGTTTCCCTAATTTCTTTCTCAGCCCTTTTGTCTTTTGTATACAGGAGTGCTACTGATTTTTTTGAGTTAATTTTGTATCTGGGCACTTTGCTGAAGGTATTTATCAGTTGTAGGAGTTCCCTGGTAGAGTTTTTGGGGTCACTCACGTATACTATCATATCATCTGCAAATAGTGATAATTTGACTTCTTCCTTTCCAATCCATATCCCCTTGATCTCCTTCAACTGTCTTATTGCTCTAGCAAGGACTTCAAGAACCATGCTGAAGAGATATGGAGAGAGTGGGCAGCCTTGTCTTGTCCCTGATTTCAGTGGAATTGCTTTAAGTTTCTCTCCGTTCAGTTTGATGTTGGCTATAGGCTTGCTGTATATTGCCTTTACTATGTTTATATATGTGCCTTGTATCCCTGATCTCTCCAATACTTTAAACATGAATGAATGTTGGATTTTGTCAAATGCTTTTTCAGCATCTAGGGACATTATCATGTGGTTTTTCTTTCAGTTTGTTAATATGGTGGATCACATTGATGGATTTCCATATATTGAACCACACCTGCATACCTGGGATGAAGCCTACTTGGTCATAGTGGATAATATCTTTGATGTGTTCTTGTATTTGGTTTGCAAGTATTTTGTTGAGTATTTTTGCATCAATGTTCATAAGGGAGATTGGCCTGAAATTCTCTTTCTTTGTTGAGTCTTTGTGAGGTTTAGGTACAAGGTGATTGTGGCTTCATAGAATGAGTTTGGTAATGTTTCTTCTGTTTCTATTTTGTGGAGTAGTTTGAAGAGAATTGGAGTTAGCTCTTTTTTGAAGGTCTGGTAGAATTCTGCACTGAAACCATCTGGTCCTGGGCTTTTTTTGGATGGAAGACTTTCGATGATCGCTTCTATTTCCTTGGGGGATGTAGGACTATTTAATTGATTTACCTGTCCTGATTCAGCTTTGGTAAGTCAAATCAATCAAGAAAATTGTCCATTTCATTTAGATTTTCAAATTTTGTGGCATATAGACTTTTGAAGTAAGTCCTAATGATTGTTTGGATTTCCTCAGTGTCTGTAGTTATGTTCCCCTTTTCATTTCTGATTTTGTTGATTTGGGTGGTGTCTCTCTACCTTTTAGTTAGCTTGGCTAAGGGTTTGTCGATCTTGTTGATTTTCTCAAAGAACCAGCTCTTGGTTTCATTGATTCTTTGAATTGTTTTATTTGTTTCTAATTGATTGATTTCAGCCCTGAGTTTGATTATTTCCAGCCGTCTACTCCTTTTTGCTGTGTCTGCTTCTTCTTTTTCTAGGGTTTTTAAGTGAGCCATTAAGTTGCTTGAATGAGCTGTCTCGAATTTCTTCTTGAAGGCACTTAGTGCCATGAACTTTCCTCTTAGCACTGCTTTCAATATGTCCCACAAGTTTGGGTATGTTGTGTCTTCATTTTTATTGAGTTCTAGGAAGACTTTAATTTCTTTCTATATTTCTTCCCTGACCCAGCTGTCATTTAGTAAAGAGTTGTTCAGTTTCCATGTGTGTGTAGGCTTTTGCTATTTCTGTTGTTATTGAGGTTCAGCTTTATTCCATGGTGATCAGACAAGATACAAGGGGTTATTTCAATCTTCTTGTATCTGTTGAGGCTTGCTTTGTGACCAACTATATGGTCTATTTTCCAGAAGGTTCCATGAGGTGCTGAGAAGAAGGTAAATTCTTTTGTGTTTGGTGGAAGGTTCTGTAAATGTCTGTTAGGTCTATTTGATTCATGACCTCTGTTAGAGACATTATTTCTTTGTTTAATTTCTGTTTTGTTGACCTGTCCTTTGTTGAGAGTG